ATGTATGTATGTATGTATGTATGTATGCATGTACGTGTGTTAATGACATCTAGTATTTTATCAAGTATTTGATAGTATTTGATAGTATTTTGATATTAAGCAAGCTTATGCTTAATTTCTATCCTGTATGGGTACGAATGCAGATCCTGAATCAAAATTCTCCTCAGAGACTCCCTCGGAATGCCCAATTGTTGGCTGCGCCAACCGAGGTCCTGACTGAGGTGATGTTCTCCTCTGTCCTTGCACTTCTTTGTCTCCCTGAGTGTGTGGGAGCATTCCCTTTAACATTGAGGTTCTTGACAGTCCCTTGCACCCTCAACTTCTGTACCTATCTTAGAATGAGTCCTTTGTTTGGATAGGTGTGGCAATTGAATTCCCTCTTGAAACGTACTTGTACAGTTTTGAACAATTTGGTCGAAAAGTACGTTTCCACGGACCATGATTTCTGTCGAAGAGTCCAAGGCATCTTGAAAAACTCTTGATTCTAATCTGATTGGGTTGATTAACACTTGTTTGGGTTGCATTTATTTTGGGTCACCCTGTATTATATACTATATATATACTAAAAAGTATCATAAATGACAATCATGACAAATGTTGAAAATAAATTATGAAAATGAAAGGCACTCTACATATATCTATATCAGAAGTAGATAATAGGGAAGGAGTGTGACTTCAATAAACAAGGGAAATTCGTCATTTACTAGCCTTAGAATACTCACAATTTACTACACCGCCTCGCCGAGTGAGCAAGAGTGCGTTAGTAGCTGCCTTTTGTTTCAAGATCGGCGAACATTACATTTGGTTTGCTGGCAACAGAATGGATAATCGTGTCGTACGTTTTAGTCTGTATCTCCGGATTGCGGGTGTATACGAGGAAACGATTTCGCACGATGCTAGGCGAATGTACTGTAAATCGTAGGTATTCTAAGGCTAGTAAATGATGAATTTCCCTTGTTTATTGAAGTCACACTCCTTCCCTATTATCTACTCCTGACCTATATGCACTTAATTAAAACAGAGCACCCCTTTCACCGCCTTTTAACATTACATTGCTACTGTCACCACAACACAGCTGTTGTCTGACAAATTAACATGTACACACGCATGCGCATATGCACGCGCCTGCACGCACGCACAGACACACGCGCAAGCACGCGCAAGCATGCACACATGCACACACACACACACATACACACGTTTAACAGGTATTTTGTAGTCATATTTAGCGACATTTGATAATTAGATAGATATTATATTTAAAGTAGCAAATATTCTGCACAGAGTGGTCATTTGGTCGGTCTGCACACAGCCCAGTTGTGGTCCAATAACTATAACCTCCTCATTGGCGATACTACTACAATAGGCCTACTAGTCGGCTAAGAAGGAAATATAACCATAAGATTTCATGAATCTTCCCGGTACTAGGAACTTGTGCTCAGTTGTTTGTATTACAATTTTGTGGAATTCTTCAGTTGGGCCGACCACATCTGCACTCATCCCTCAACTGCACATCATCCATCACACTTACAAATTGGCATGCTGAATTGACTGTGCTGTTGATTGAAATTACACTGCAGTTCTCCCCAGGATCACCTTCTCAGTAGCATTACCACAGATTAACAAATACATAACGAAAACATAATACGAGTGTAATGCATCATGTATCTGTATTGCAATCATGTATCATGGCTGCATGCATCATGCAACCATTTCCATAGGTGCGGGCAGAGCTACATCACAGATCAGTAGTCACGTGACCACCAGCAGAACGCCGGTGAAAACAATACGATCATTTGGTTTGGAAGTTTTAATAAGTTTTTTTCATGATATTCCTTCTAATATGCCTTACGAGTATATAGATAGCCTTTCTGTAGCTATAATTATGACATTATGTAAGATACATATGATACATAAGATACATAAGATAAATATTTTAAAGGCTCACAATGCGCATCCAAACGCTAATTTCTCCAGTACTAGACTAGCAAATACTTCGTGTCATGCATAATCACACTACCTTATGACAAAATAAACTCTAGTTGCTCCCATTTCACTGCGCGTTTGCTTAAAACCCACAAGAAAAAGGTGAGAAAACTGGCATTCTGGCGCAAACGCCGACTGTTTGCCAAACAATATAGCCTCAAAGTGGTGACGTGACGTCACGT